CCTTCACTTTCAAAGCGAGTTCCTCAACGAAAATCAATGACCCAATGAAGATGTTCGCATCCTCCACGTCTTTACAGAATGTATTGTACGTTGAAACATCGCGAAGCTCTTCGACTAAATAACCCACAACTTGGAAATTGGCATGGGTTTTGTTCTTGTTGAGAGCTAGAACGGCGGCGGTGAGTGATGATTGGTATTGTGCTTCGAGAACGACATAGACAATTTTGACTGTCGGAAGGCCGTTGGTGTTGTCGGGAACGACACGCCGGACTTCGGGACTTGTTTGTGTGAAGAGACCATTGCCGGTGGCGACACATTTCACTTTCACGGCGGATTTTGAAGAAATGGCGAGGTGGGTTTTCTTGGGGAGGAAGGAATGGAGGAAGAAATGCTTCTGGGAAAGCGATGAGAGCTGAAGCTCCGATTTGGAAGCCGGTAAAAATGGCGATGACATCAAGGACGCCATTGATGACGGGAAAAAAAGCTCTAAAACAACCGATCAAGATGGTCTATGAGGGCTTAATTTTTGGATTTAGCTTCAAAATTGGGAGCTCGCTAAAGGGTTTTTCTTCTTGTTCTTCTTTTTTTGATTTCTTTTCCATTCGAAGTTGCAGCGAAATGGGTTTGTGGTTTTAACGGAGAGGAAGAAGAGGGAAGAGGAACGGTTTTTTTGTGTGGTTAGTGGTGAGTGGAATGGACACGTGGCGAACTGGGTCATCAGGGAATTTTGATAGTGGAGGAGTGTACTTTTGAGGTTGAGCTTCAATTTCAGCCATGGAGGAGAGAGAGAGAGAGAGAGGTGTAGAGAGAGAAGTAGAACATCCATTTATCTGAAAGGGGATTTTTTGATGGAATTTGGTGCAATCTGATTGGTTGGAATGGATTTCTTCAAATTGTTGTGGAGGATGAGATAGAAAATTGGGGATTTTTTTAAATTATTAATTGAATTAAATTCTTAATGTTTGTAAAAGATTCTTTCTTTGGGTGTGTGTCTCTCATGTAAAAAGGACAGATATTTTAAATGGAATCAGTGGAAGATATTCGTCTTTTAGCAGTTCATGTACTATAGGCTACTCTTCGTCGTTCCTTACCGTTAATTATAATATTAATATTTGTACACTACTGACGAGGATTGTTGGGAGGGAATCTCACGTTGGCTAATTAAAAAGATGATCATGAGTTTATAAATAATGTATTTCCATTGATACGAGGTCTTTTGGAAAAACAAAAAGCAAAACCGAGAGAGTTTATGCTCAAAGTGGACAATATCATACTATTGTGGAGGGTCGTGGTTTTGGACGTGGTATCTGAGTCATGCCCTTAAGTTAACCATGTCAATGGAATGCTCAATTGTCAAACAAAAAATTTGTGAGTCTCGAAGATGTAGTCAAAAGTGAGTCAAGTGTCGAACAAAAAGTGTATTTTGTTCGAGAGCTCCAAAGAAAGAAGTCAAGCCTTGATTAAGGGGAGGTTGATCGAGGGCTTCATAGGCCTCGAGGGAGGCTCTATGGTGTACTTTGCTCGAGAGGATGATTGTTGAGAGGGAGTCTCACATTGGCTAATTAAGGGGACGATCGTGGGTTTATAAGTAAAGAATACAGCTCCATTGGTATGAGGCCTTTTGGGGAAACCAAAAGTAAATATACGAGACTTTATACTCAAAGTGGACAATATCATACTATTGTGGAGGGTCATGGTTCCGAATAATTACAACTTACACACTAGATCTTCACAAAGAACATGAAGAACAACAAAAGAGAGAAGATGTAAGGAGAAATAAACGGGTCATGGTTCCAAACAATTACAACTTACACACTCGATCTAGACAAAGAACTTACACACGACCTATACGTACGAGCGTGGGCCCCACCAGGCAAGCTCGCAAACCCCCTAACCCTGCATGGTCGGGCTAGTATTGGGTGTATAGTCCAGAGGTACAACAACTGTCGTGTACCATGTCAAGTATGATAATCATCATCATAATGTACGCGTCTGTACTCATCATAAAACGGGAAGTATCTCGATGCATGTGAACATATAGTATGCATGAGGACCCTATACTTTTCATCTTAAACCATTCATACAGCACAACCACATACATTTCTCAAATATTACCCTAGGTAATATACATGTATAAGTTTTCATAACATTACTTAGGGGTTGTGCATCAGAAAACTCTTTATTACCATACATGTCGTAGCATGTCATACATTTCATTACCAAGCATATTCATGTCATAGTGCAACATGACATTATACATATTATCGTAAGATGAGATATCATCATAATGTATCATAACATATTACATCATTATAATATATCATATCACCAGAACATATCACATCATATAACATAACATATCATCATAATACATCATATCAAACACATGACACGTGTACGGGCCACTGGGTATGTGTCATCATACATAAGGTGATTCTTCCAACCGAGCCGATAGTAGAGCCACTTATTTGGTTACTACAACCCCTTGATGCTCGCTCAAGGCTACTCTCTAAAATTTAATTCTATGTTGATATGGTCATGTTTATGTCTTGTGAGACACCATGATATATCACATATGATAAACATGAATGCAATGTCATGAATATGTATGTACGTCTAGAAAGGAATTTACGACACGAGAAGTTTGGAATTATTGTGTGTATCATCTCATTGAACCACTATTTTTAATGCAGGGCCTCGTGCATGTTGAATGTCATATGATCACAGATTACTTCTACAACATGTTATGTACGAACTTGTAGTCATGTCTAGAGGGTACGTTAATGAGCCCGCCTAGTGGGCTCATTCACACATGCTAAACTTTGGGTAGAAAAGTAGTATGCGTACAATCCTACCCAAAACTAAAAGTAGAGCCCGAGGAACAATCATGAAAATTAGGTCTCTCGAATCATGATACATTTTATATATGAATACATTTTTCAACCCGAATAGTGAGTTCACTTGTTGAGTATTATACTTTTTCAGGTAAAGATAAAGAGGTTAATGCATGGTTGATGACACATGCTAAGGAGACCGTATAAAATTTCTTAAGAAGACGTTTAAACCTTATTTTTTTAACCATGTTTTCACCACATTTGCACTATTTATGAATATGGAAGTTCATCAAAATTTTAAACTTAAAATGAATTTTATAAGTTTTTTCCTTGAACCAATTATGGTATTGCTCGTAGTAACGATCTTATTTTAGAAGAAAAACTAATGTTACTACACATATACTGCATACAACATTGAGAGACAATTTGTTTTGGTTGGCATAAACAAAACCTCTCTCGACGAGGTTCTATTGACGTGGATGCCAATGAGAGTTTTCGTCAAAAATGTATTTTGTAACGTTCTTTTCGACTTTTTCTAATGTTTTTTTGGTGTTGAGAAAAGTTCATATTCTTGTGTGTGTGTCTATATATATATATCGATACATATGTTTCAAAACATTGTGGAAATCAAAAATCGGTATAAACAAGTATCATACACTTCTTAAATAGGTGATAAATCTTAGTGTTCGTATTGGTCATTATTTCTCGTGTTTTTATATTTCATTGATATTTATACCATATAACAAAAATAAAGAATTGTTGATGGATACTTTTCATAGATATTGAACCTTCTAATATGAATATTTTAATCTTGGAATAAAGGTGGTAAGATCATAATCAATTGTCCCAATTTATAATAATTCACAACAAAGTTCGGGGAATTAATTTTCATAGGGATGTCATAAATACATGATGTCACGGGACTCCATAAGTAGAGTTGGACTTCAAGGAGCAAGATCGGGCTAGCCCCAAAAGTATTTAATAACTTCAACTTAAGTCAACCAAGTGGGCTGATTGTTGGAACGCCTTCGAGATTTGATGGACTTGAGTATTGTATGTATGACACGTACCCTATGGCCATTCCCTATATGTTATGTTATGACATGCTAAGTTATGACTATGCTATGTTATGAATATATGTGATGCATATACTTCCTTATATCAACCTGTGTATGTTATGACACCACATTCATTTTATGTCTATGAGACATCGATGAGCCAAGTATGATAATGATGAAACATATGTTATATATATATATATATATATATATGCATGTCTCATAAGAGAGTTATGTCACAAGGAGAATGAAAGTATGATTTGTAATTACAAGACCTCATACATATTGTATGTCATGAGTACAGGATGCTTCTGCAATATGATTTGTACAGACACGTACACCATGCTATATTCACTTTATATATATATATATATATATATATATGCACGAAGGCGCTACTTTGTCCTGTAAAGAATGAAGGTCCATACGACACTCGATGTTAACACTCCCAAAAAAAAAGAATCGACTGATCAAACGCAGGTGGACTGCTCTACATTCAGCCACGCCACTTGATTTGCCATCATTTCTGGACTTCCGTGGTCGAATCCGTAACAGCCAGGTCAAAGGTTAAGGTATCAGCGTCTGAAAAAGGGGAAGCGAAAGAGAAAGGCAAATAGTCAAAGAAATCAAAAGAGCACGTGGCTACGAACCACAGTGTCGGGGGTTCAAATCCCTCCTCGGCCAGCCATACAGGAGGTCCAATCAAGTGGCGTGGTTGAATGTAGAGCAGTCCGCCTGCGTTTGATCAGTCAATTCTTTTTTTTGGGGAGTGCTAACGTCGCGTCTCGTACGGGCCTTCATTCTATATAGATATATATATATATATATATATATATATATAAACCATCAGAAAAATAGAATATATACGCACCTTTCTTTCTTGAACTTGTTTCTAGTAAGATATATTGAATATATCATTAGAGTCCCACATACATGCAATAGAACAAGAAAAAGTAGACAATTTTTGGCAGAGCATATGGCATCCCTATGTTTTCTATCATAATGTAAACTTCTATTTGCCTATCAGTCAGGTTCCATTCCATTGTTATCAAGTTGATGCAAATAAAAAGCGAGAAATGAAGTTCAATTAGTAATAGAGAGATATTTGAATGTAGAAATCCGACCCCTGCACCAAAATTGATTCCTGAGACCAAATTCTAAGAAAAACGATCTCCAGGGAAAACAAATATCATCACCAAAATTCTTTAGACAACCAAACTAAGTATATAATTGGAAGCCTACAAACCATTCAGCTTTTCATTCATTAAACCAGGAAAAAAAAAATATAGAAGGCCTCCCTAAAACTTAGTCAATTTCCATACCAGAAATTGCTTCATCCAAAATCATCTGTAGTTCTTTTGATCTTTGTCTCGTCAGTGCAACACAATCCTGCAAGCACGCCATCCCCATACGGATTAGAGCACGTAAATCATGATATACCAATTAAAGTATTTTGAAACAGTTAAAATCATTTTCATCAAGATGACTTTAATCATTCAAAATCCATTTAATGTTTAATTTTACACTTTTGAACACAATTTTCTTACCGTAAAAAATTTAAATCATGTTTTTGAGTGATTTTGAATTTGATAAAAATAAGTTTAACCATTTCAAAATCACTCTCAAAGATGTTCGTACTCTAGAGTAAAAATATCAGTTTACATAAAGATGCGTACTAAACCAAGATAAACTTTTGGAATTGGATGATATTACAAACAATGATGACGAGAATTAATATTAATATAACCATCAAGTCAATTAATTATTTTTCGAGTTCCTTACCAAATCACTTCCAAAATATCTTACTTATAAAGAATATGCATCCTAAGGCAAGATAAGCAAACCAGAGAAGCTTTTGGGCTTGGATGATATTATAACTTTTTCACAAATCAAAGGAAGTGTTTCTTGAAAAGTAAAGATGGTAATGATGATAATACAAATCATCAAGTCAATTCATTATTTATTGAGTAAATTAAAAGCTTGTTTCCTCTACTGTGATTAGGTGTTCTTAAACATTTTTAGAATTTTCAATAATGTTTTTTAAAAAATCAAACATTATTATTTTTATAATCCAACATCATATTGAAAATCCAACTAGCTTGACCAAACTTTGCAAACAAAAAATGTGAAGGATGAAGAAATCCAGGGAACTAATCCATTCTCTAACGAATTAGATTCCATTAATAAACATGCCAGAGAAAGAGAGACCAACCTGAACAGCTGATGTATAGGCAAGCACAGATCCACCCGGTTTGTAGAAGGACACTAGTTGACCAGATGAATCCAAGACCACGGTTACAATAGTTTCCATGACAGACTCCTCCTCCGCAGTAGGGTCAGCCAAGATGTAATTCTTGTGGAGTAGGCATGTTAATGAGAAAGGAAGGGAGTTCAATTTCAGTTTCCTTTTCTCTTTATTGACAGCTTCCTTCTCAAAGTTTTCTCCCCCTTCTTCCTCAGAGACAAATACTACTTTTCCATCGTCATTTAGAGCCACAAAAGGGATTTGCACTAGGAAATTAAACCGGGAAGAAGTTTAAAATATGGCTCAACAGAGAAAATGGGTACCAATCGTTTTAAAGTACTATAAACTACCAAGTCAACAAACAAGAATATTAACATTGTTCAGCTTTCTAAGAGCAATGATAAGGACTTTCAAATGATAAAATAACAATTAATCACCGGTATGCTGGATAAACAAAAGATAACACCAGTTGCTGAAGGGAGGATAAATAGTTTTATACAAAACCAAAGTTGTTACATAAAGACTCCAATGAGGCTACTTAATTCGGATTATGCTTATGCCCATCAAATATTTCCAGCATAAATCATGGCAGTCATGAATTTTCCAAAAGAAGTGAGAAACAAAGGACAGGGACTAGTTCATCCCTCAACACCCTAGCCTGTTGGGTGCGAGACACACTCTAAACCCTGGAGCCCTATAGAGGAGTAAAAATCAATATGAGAGTGTATGACCAGTCTCTAAAATCATGTATAGACCCGTAAATGCTAAAATGCCCCAAAATGTACTATAGGGGGATGTGACTAGTCAATTTTTCCTACCCAAGTTATATGCTATCAAAGTCGTCGTTACTTATTTGCTTTTAGCTTATAACATTGATTTCTTTCAAATTGTTTTCAACACATTTCCTCACTCACACTTTATAAAATATTTCTTTCAAACGTGACCTGAGACTTAATCATACACTAAGATTGTTCACAAAGTCCGACTTTCGTATGACTGACTTGTTCGCCGGGATAGAACAAGTGCTGCACAATCGTTGTCCTGCTGCCACAAGAGTAAGAGTACAATTGTGACACAAGGAACCAAAGCCAACCAACAACGCCAAAGAAAAAAAAACCTCCAAAGAAAAGCCACCAAATTCAAGAACCAACCAACAAAGCAGAAAGACGATCAGCGAGACTATCAAAAGGAAATTCCAGCCAACAAAAATGAATTAGCAGCAGAAAGTAATAAGTTGCCTAGCTTTTGGAAAATAACATACGAGCTTCCAAGCTTTTGGGGTTTCTGGTATTTTGCGTGTCATCTAGGAAAGATGGCTTGAGAACACCTTCAGGAACATTTGGAGGAGTCTAAGAGAACTAGAAACAAGGTGAGAGAAGAGACACAGAGGCTACCAGAGATAAACTAGACAATTAAGAAAATGACATCATTGCACGAATGTTCAATCAGTGGAACAGAAGGTTACAACAGAAACACAAGAATATCGACTAGTACTTTAAACACCACCAAAGAACAAAGGCAAGCCACAAAGGAAACTCGATGCGCCATTGCAGCATTGGCCATCGATTAGTCTCAGAACCTGAACCCAAGAAAAAAAGGGAAACCACTCCAAGAGAATACAAATTGAAGGACTTACACGGGTGCAAGTATTAATTAATTTGATACCCCAGCCAAAATCCCACCTAAAACAATAGAGCCCAACCCCATCCGACCTTCAGCGCAGCTCACAAAAAGACATACATTGCTAACAATTGATAGACGTTAAAGATAAAATCATAATGTGAAAAGGCCATTTGTTATAGATGTGATGAGAAATGCTCCATAGGCCATAAATGCAAGAGCAAATAACTCGAGCTATTAGTTGTGCATGATGATACAGGAGCTTAAGAAATGGACATCGATTCTAGGAACGACAAGCTAGAATAAACCATGATCAAAGTAGTAGAGTTGTCTTAAATGCTATTGAGGAGATTATCCAATCCAGGCACCATCAAGATAGTGGGGTGAACCGAGCATGCAAAGGTAATTGTCTTTGTTGATTGCGATACTACACACAATTTCATCTATCATCAAGATCAAAATGCTCGTCTTTGAAATGACCAATTATGGGGTTATTAAGGGGGTAAGAACAGCAATGAGAGGTAAGGGAGTATGCACGGGACTCGTGGTTTCTATTGCAAGTCTAATGATTAAATCGTATACCTCTGGAACTAAAGGGATCAATCTGATATTATAAGGAATGCAATGGCTCCAAACACTAGGATTGCCTAAGGTTGACAACAAGGGCCTGGCATTAGCCATCAGAATTGGGGATTCAAGGATCCTGATCGAGGATGACCCTTCTCTTACCCAAAAAGAAGCTTTGATAGAGAGTCTCAAACGGTCATGGAAACAGCGTGGCCCTTCCACGTGGAGCTCTAAGAAGATAATAGAACAAGTTGAAGATTTTAATTTCCTAAACGCAATCCCCCCTTCAAATCTTCCTAGTGAAGTGGACAAGCTCTAGACGGGCTACACCGATGTTTTCCAATCAACATCCCAAATTCCCCCGAGGCGCGATCTAGATCACCGTATTCAATTGAAGGAAGGCTACGAGCTGATCAATGTGCACCCATATCACTACCAAGTGGTCTAGAAAGATGAGATAACAAGATGCTTACGACTGGAATCATTAAGCCAAGTACTAGCCCCTATTCAAGCCTAGTCTTGTAGTAACAACGAAGGTGGAAGGTCTTGATAGATTACAGAACTTAGAAGGAAACTACACTTTTAGACAAGTTCCCAATCCAAGTCATTGAAGAGTTGTTTGATGAACTACGCAGGTCCAGAGTATATTCGAAACTTGATTTGAGGTCAGGGTATCATCATATTTCGATTTACAAATCAGGCATTCTTAAAACTGCATTTAAGACACTTGAAGGCTACCATGAGTTCTTAGTGATGCCATTTGGATGCCATTTGGCCTAACAAAATGCTCCAGCCACATCCTAGCCGCTATGATCCAAGCATTTAACCCTTTCCTAAGAAGATTTGTTCTTGTGCTTTTTTTACAATATTATGATTTACAACACTAACTTGGAGACTCATGTGACACACTTGACGGTGATTTTGAATACTATGTGTGACAGTTCCTTGTTGGCCAACTTGAAGAAGTGTAAGTTTGCACGGGATCGAACCAATTATTTAGGACATTTGGTCTTTGTGAAAGGTGTAGAAGTTGGCTCTGAAAATGTTAGAAAATTAAAGGGTCTCAACCAGTGAATGTTCGAGAACTGAGAGGTTTCCTAGGGCTAACCAGTTACTATTGACGTTCATACCCAAATATGGTTGCATTGCCCATTACACCATATGTCAAGAAACATTGCCTTTGGATGAAGTGATGAAGCCTTTCAGGCCTTAAAATCTCTAGAGCAAGCTGTGGTCACACTGCCTATGATGGCTCTCCCTGATTATGTAATCATTTCGTGGTGGAAATGGATGCCTAAGGGACAAGTCTAAGGGTTGTCACCATTCGATTGCCTATTTTAGTCATACTTCATTGGCACAAGCACAAGCCAAATCGAAATATGAGCGAGAACTGATGACCATGGTTATGGCAGTTCAGAACACCATTTTATTGTGAAGATAGACCAGCATTCATTGAAATACTTGATAGAATAGAAGATAATTCAGCGGAAGTATCTAAAGTGGGTCTTGAAACTGCTAGACCATGACTTTGAGATCCAATGCAAGCCAAACCTCAAGAATAAAGTAGCAGATTCTCTTTCATGTATGGCCACCCACAGTTCATTTAGCAAACTTAACAACTCCAACCATACTAGATCTTGAAATTGTCGAGAAAGAAATCAGTGAGGATGAACATCTTTGTTGTATCTGTTCAGACATTGAGAATGATCCTGTCATCCACCACAAGTTTTCAATTCACCTAAATACTCTTCTCAATAAGGAAAAAAATGGTTGTATACCAAACCATACCAGCGGTGCTTCATACGTATCATGACTCGATTAGGGGGAGGCACTCAGGATTCTTGTGAACTAACAAGGAATGAAGAGGGATGTAAAGAAATACATGGAGAAATGTGGAATTTGCCAATGGAACAAAACGATGGCCATGTCACCAACGGGACTCTTACTACAACTACCCATTCCTGATAAAATCTAAAAGGAATTCACCATGGATTGCACTGAAGGTCTTCCCTGATCTAACAGGAATGACACAATTCTAATTCTGGTGGAGTGCCTAAACATGCCTATTTCTTGATGTTAAACCATCCTTGTACCACGAAGACAATTATCTCTCTCTTCACGAATCGATAGTCAAGCTCCTTGGTTTTCCTCGATCCATAGTGTCTGACAGAGACAAGGTATTCATCAGCAACTTTTAGTTGAATCCTTCACGCTTCAAGTCCCCCAACTATAACGCAACAAAGCCTACCACCCACAGACTGATGAGCAAACTTAGATCGTCAACAAGAGTTTGGAACCTTATCTAAGGTGTTTCTGGAGACCCAAGCAATGGGCACACTGACTTAGTTAGGCGAAGTGTATGTTAAAAGAAATGGTATGATATGTATATGATGAAATGTTATGTTAAAAGCATAGAACATTATGTCATGTTTCCTAAATTGTGTGTATACACCATGATATAAATGACATGAAAGATAACCCCATTAGAATTATGTATGATAGAGAAATGATATGATATGAGGACTAAAAAATGAGAATCGATATGATATGATCTAAATGAGAAATGATAGCGGAGTTATATTTAATAATGTTGAAAACGGAAAAATATTGGGACCTCATGTGCACATGCATTGGGGGATACCCCTATTCCATCACGAGGGTACGGACGCGTACACCACTAGGCAGGTGAAGTATCATTGTATTTTACATAATGTTGTTGTGACGGTTACTAATTCTAATGGGTGTCCGGCATAAGGAGCTACCAGAAAAGGCTCGCTCGACAAGAAAAGGGGCCCAGCAGTGTGCGAATTGTCTGGTGAGCCCATACTCGCATGTATGGGCTATGTGTAGAGTATAAGGTACACATCCAAGCTGCCCATTAGGATAGTCCCGTAGGAAAAGAGATTGATATGATAGGTCCCGTCATTACATTTGCATGTTCTTGCATTTAACCACCAATAGTGGGGTCACTTACTGAATATTTCTTAAAATACTCAAGCCACATGCTACCTCTATGTCAGGTTAAGACAAGGTGGCCTCCCACCCCAAGCAGTAATGTGAGATCCGCAATAGTAAAAAATATATATAGTAAGAGGGGCAAAAAGGGAAAATCATCACCAACCTCTTAGTAGCCGTTAGCACAGTTGTTAGTATATAATTATTTTGTCTCTGCACTTTAAGGGCTATCTTGTGTGTGAATGTGTGGTTGGTAGATCATAGTAAAGGAGATCACCACCATCTCAAATCGGTGGGGATACTCCATATAACCTTATTTTGTTTAATGTGATATCAAAGTAAGGGGAATCCTTATAAAAGCATGAACACTTTAGTTTGGCTAGCATGTCTGTGTCCGACACATGTCAGACAAGTATCAAACATTTGTTAACAAAACTGAGAGTAACTAAAATAAAAATAAAAACAAAAACACATGGTTAAGGCAACATATCGGGCAAACACAGAAGGCATGAGAGATGATTAAGGAAAACTTTTTTGATGAAGCACTGAAAGTATTATTAAGATTGCCTAGTAAGATAATCCATATAAGGATGTTTATTCTCTTGGTACATTGGATTTCCATAAAGCCACAAAAATCTCCTTTCGTAAAGGTGAAAAAGCTCCTAAATGCTTAGACAAAGATTTCACAGAGAATCCACCTGCTTCCAAACTTTAGGAATACTAATCCAAGGGTTCTTAAAACTCATCCAATTTCTTCCAGCCGTATTCCAACCAAAGGAGTTATACCCATGTATACTAACAATCACCTTTCTCCAAAAGGAACGAGGTTCATTTATAAATCTCCAACCCCACTTGAGAATGAGTGCCGTATTTCTTCATTTTAAAGCTCCAATTCCTAGACCTCCATCATCTTGAGATTTAGTGACACTAAGTTCCATCTAACCAATTGGTTGATTGTACCACCCTCATCCCTTCCCAAAAAAAAAAAAAAAAAATTATCATCATACGTTCCGAATCCAAACTCACTTGTGAAGGCATAAGGAAAAGAGACAACTTGCAAAGGCCTAAGGAAAAGATACATATAATACAATGAAATACAAGAAAACACCAAATTACAAGCATCAAAACGACCTCCTCTTGATAATATGGTAGTTTACTTCAGGACATGATTACTTAATGCCCCCTATAGATTTTAATAACAACAAACGAAATCTAAAGAGGGAAAAAAATCTGAGATGTAAAGGATTAAAAGCAGAAAGTATCAATCTATGATCTGAAAAACTATCCTTAATGTTAGTGGAGGACAAATGTCCCATTATAACCAGCATTACTGCCATAACCATAACACCTACAAAATTATGCAGAAATATATCAAGTTATGAACAAGTTGAGAGCCTGAAACCTCACAGTGAGAAAATGCAGCAGCTGCAGAAAGAAGTGCAGCATCGAATAGAGATCCGTCGGCATCCAAACAGTAAATATCCTGTGGAATGCATATCAAGTTGCTATTTCATTTAAAATAATTAACCACAATAATAAAGCTGCATTCTGACCAAAAATCAGGCTATAGAGACAAAATGTCCAATAAGAGTAAGGATGATGCAAGTGAACAAATTTCAGAAGCAAAGTATACAGGTACATCGGTAAAGGCACCTCACTTCAAACACTAAGATACTTCTAGCATAAAAATACATTGACAATGCATGACTTTAAAATACATACCAAGTATGCCATCCACGCAGCTTTTCCTTTAACAAGAGATAGTTCTCTCAGATCAATCATCCCAGAACTAAAGAATTCACATCATCAGTTTCTTGATTAGTTAGAAAGATTTGAAGGAAATTGCAGAAATCAAAAAAGTGTATTGCATTCCTCTTGCCAGATTTCTATCACTTCTAAAATAATGAGAAACACAATATCGCATGCAGAATAGTTTGCAATAGGTAAGTCCTTTAAGAAAATTTAAAATGAAGACAGAGAACTTATCATGCATCTAAAGTAGTTTACACGTGAAAATTATGCATTAACAATTTTTAGAGTTGAGGGTTGAAATTAATTTTTTTTCCCAAAAAAAAAAAATGAAAAGTGAAGTAGCTTAATGACCCATCAAGAGAACATTGCAAAATATCATCCCCTCCCTAAGAACCACACGAACCAGAACATCCATAAGGGATATCCGCTCTTCTACTTCAGTGTCTCTGAACTTCTCTTTCACGTTGAGTAACCAATAGTTTTGTTCACCATTCTAGCCTTGCAAAAGAGTCTTGCCTTTGCTGTTAGCAGGAATAAAGGCGAAAGGGGTCCAGCAGAGGTCCGAAGTGTGTCATTTTGCTCCCCAAAAGAGCCTTGTTTGTTTAGTAAACAGCATGAGAGATGTTTTTATAGTTTATACTTAAATCACTTTCTCTCCAACCCCAATTATGAAGGGGTCATAGTCTCTCATCACAATTTTATACTGTCCAAAGAGCCTCCCTCTCTTATGGAAACCTACAAAGGCACTTAGTCATGAGGTAAATATTTCTACTTCTCTAGTTTCAAATCCACGAGTCACCAGGGGCAAAAGGGAGGCAAGTTATTTTCCAATTTACCAAATGGTTTCCTTTACCCTGTCACTGCTGTCTAAAAAGACTCTAATGATCTTTTATAGAATATCAGCAATATTGGAAGGCATTCTGAAAAGAAAAACATGATGTTGGGGAATAATAGAGGGTACCGATTGAACAAGAGATAATATTCCACACCAAGAGAGAAATAAATTCTTCCATATTGAATTATTGCACCTGGATTTATCTATGATTCATTTCCAGGAGTCCTTAAAAGTCAGATTCCCCAAAGAGGCATTTCCAAGTTTGGTCCAAGAGCGCCCACTCCAAAGGAGAATGTTAGAATCTCAGCCCAAATGGTACCGTTACACTAGCTTCATCAGATCAGACTTCAGCGTCGTTCAATTAACTGCAAAGACAGCATTCATTGTCCAGCCTTGTGCTTTATATTTGTTCATTGAATTTATTATTTTCTGAGTTAGTGGGGTTAGTTCTTCTGTTATAATTTTCCCACTAGCCTGAATCTTGTAGTGCAGATCATGTTTGAAACTGCCTCAAGACTTGCCACGATTCCTTGTATAAATCCTGCTGCTGTGTTTAACTAAGATTATTGAGACCCTTCATACAAAATCTCTCTTTTCTCTAAATTTAAAGTGAGAAAAGGCATCTCAAACACTTCAATAGCATTCAAAATACTTTTTAAAGCTTGATTTCCATCCACACTTAACAGAAAAATATCATCTGCAAATTGCAATAGATCAAAGTAGAACTGCAAGAAATGTGAAATAGTACCTTGAAATAGTGTCAGATAACTGCTTTGAAATCACAGGTGCTGCTTCAGCTGGTCTCCCAGGCCTAACAATTGGAGAGCATATGGGGGGCATGTGGAAATCGACAGCTGGAAAAGATAGACCCAATATCACAAAGATGTATAGCATGTTATCATAAGGTTTATGATAAACAAGGAGCAAAAATATCTAGCTGTTGACAATGACAAACCTATGCAACCCTCATCCGGTGACTCTATGGAAGGCGTCATTACCTCCATTTTAATAGCAGCCAACATTGTCTGCACTATATAAAATTAAGAATAAACCGTCACAAAATCCCAGCACATATGAAAAGGTTAAATGTGAAGGCACTTACCGTAGAACCAACCTTAGCCAGGGCTGATCCGTTCGCAGATGATACTGGTCCTTAAATGAATAGACAATACCCAAATTCAGTTTTGAGAGTCAAAATGAATAGACAATACCCAAATTCAGTTTTGAGAGTCAAAATGAATCGAGCAAACTCGAGATGATAAACAAAAGCTGGAAATGGTAGGAAATGGCAATTTTCTCAAAATCCAAGCTTACAACTAACCAAGAGCAATGGTTGTATCTCTAGCTTTTCCCAGTGCTCTTCCATCAGGACGTATTGATTCAGCGAGATGACGCTCAAAAAACTGAATTGGAAAGAGTCTTCTAAAAGCATCAACCTCCATTTCCGACGACAAGTCCCCAGAAGCAGCATTTGGCAGTCCCATTGTTTGTACTCTTATCTGTTTCTCAGAAATTGGAAACCAGTTTTGATTAGAAATCTAGCTTTAAAAAAAAACTCCATTCCAAATCGGTCGAGGATTTGGAAAGATTTTTATAGAATTCTACCGCCATTGGAGACCGCTTCTTCTATATTCGAGCAATAAATTTAAGCCTCGCTACACCATTTCATTAGCATAGATAATTTTTTTTTTTTTTTTTTCTGTATTCGACAAAACTCAGAACCATTCAAGCAAACTCCTGACGCATTTTGGTTTTATGTTTTCCTCCGGATACATTGAACATTTGTTGAAGAAGAAATCAACAAAATTAAATGCTTCTTTAGAACTTATCCTTCGTGGACGAACAGAATCAATCAAAGAAACAAAATAGACAAAAAAAACAAACAAAAACTCAAATCCTTAGACATAGGGGCTGACAGAGATCTCACCAGTGGCGGCGGTTAGGAGCTGAAGCCTATAAGTAGCACTGATTGCGCAAAGAGACGAGAGAGCGTGACACGGGGGGTAGCAGCGGCGAGCTTTTCAGGCGGCTGAGACAGCGGCGTGCGGGTTGGGGTGCAGTAGCTGGTAATCGGAGGGATGAGCGCAAGAAAGGTAGGACGTTTCAGAAAAAATGAAGAACGAAAAGACTGCCCGTTGCTATGACGGAGGAGATGAAGATTGAGGAGGTAAAGACAAGGGTATAAAGGGAAATTAACAAACATAAAATTGATTAAAATGATTTATTATGATATTTTATATTTTTTTAATATAAATTATATTGTAAGAATTATTTTTTTTTTTATTTTTTTTTTAAATACATACGATAGAAAAAAATCTCGAGGGGGAACTTGATTGGTGCGAGTTCTTTGCCGGAAGTCCTTGCCCCGATCCCTGTGAAAATAAGTTGTGGTATTAGTAACCCAATTTTGGACCAATTCAAAAGTTCGAGTTGTAATCCAACCCAAAAAATTTTACAACCCGACCCAAAATTTTCGAGTTGGGTTTGGGCTGTGAAATAATGGGAGGGATGAATGGAGAAGTCTAATGACAAACACAGAGCAGATAAGTCTGACGAAAGTGGAACAAAGCGGAGAGACAGTTAGTGATGACGTCCGACGAGAAACACAGAGACGAGGTCGAGCAAAGAAATGAGAATTGAGAAGAGAATCCAACGGAGAAAAAAAAAAGGCAAGTAACGTCAACGTCCGATGACGCGGGTAAACAAGACAAGAGTGAGATGAGAACTGAGAAGTTGAACAACGACATACAGAGAGAGTCGAACTGAGAAGTTGAACAACGACATACAGAGAGAGTCGAACAACAAACGACGAAACAAATGTTGTGATGTGCGTGCGTGAGACTGTAAGTGCGAAAGCGAGACTTCATTTCACTTATTTAGTCTACATAGTGCAGATGCGCCAAGGGCAGGGACACACGCAAATGATGACTCTTGGGCTTGGGCTTTTTTTTAAAAGGTTTTCGGGTTGGGTCGGGTTGACCCAATAATTTGAATTTTGAACCCGAACCCAACTCAAACCGGATCAAGTTCAACAAACGAATCCAACCTAAACCCGAAATCATTTCATCAAACATCTGTTACAAGTCTTTGGAGCTGAACTTGTTTGCAAAGTTAGCACGTAAACATGGGTTATATTGTGTTCAAGATGTCAATTCATAACAAATATTTTATCCATTATTTGTCTTTAAATCTTTAAATGTAACGTTCCAAAAATCTATTAATCTTCAAGGGTCCTCCTTCGCCAACCTTTAAACTCGTGAAGGCAAAGGCACGAACGACATCGTTTCCGCAAGTAGCATAGGCCATGGAGCCAACAAACCACCACCACAACTCCGCCGCGTCCTCACCGCCCGCACGGCGGTCAATTTGCCCTAATTGCACCCGTCCCCAACCAGTCTGCCTATGCAAATTCCTTCCATCTCCACCAATCGCAACCAAAACACAAATCATTATCCTTCAACATCCTCACGAGGCACAACACAAGCTCTCCACCACACCGATTCTCACCAAATGCCTCTTAAACGCAACCACCATCGTCAATCGCCGCCTCAAGCCCGGCCTCTCCGATCTCCTCGACCGATCGCCTACCGCCGTCTACCTCTTCCCGCCGACGCCTCACTCCTCGCCGCCAATCAACATCTCGGAACTCGACCTAACCTCCTCATCCTCGCCGGATTCCAATCTGGTTCTGATAGCGTTCGACGGGACGTGGAAGCACGCGAAGGAGATGGTGCGATCGAGCGAGGAGTTTCTATCGAGATTCGCGAGGAGAATTTGCTTGGATTTCGACGAGAGCGTCGATGGCGGAAGCATTTTTGATTCGGAGTTGATTCTGAGGAAGGAGCCGCACGGCGGTTGCGTTAGCACGATGGAGGCAGTGGCGAGATGCTTGAGAGTGATGGAGGCGGATGGGGCGGAGATTGAGGTGAGATTGATCGGAGTTTTGAGGGAAATGGTTAGGTTACAGGCTGGGTTCCTGAAGCCCATGAACCCTAGGCCCAAATTGCTGAAGACGAAGAAGAAGACGAAGAACAAGAGCGAAAGGGAGGATGAAATTAGATGAATCTTTAACATTATCATTTTAGTCCCTTAATTCGAGTTTTATTCCATTTTTGTCTCTATATTTCTTTTTATTTAATATTAGTCGCTTTCGATATTAATTAGTTTATTATTAATTTTTGTACAATTTTTTTTATTTATTTAAAATACATAGATAAAATAATTCTCAAAATATCATGATATATGAAAATGACCAAAATATCCTCCCACTTCCTCGTGACATCCACTCACGGCAAGTAGCCACCACTGTTGTTTGTTGCTGCCATTGTCATCGTGCCACTGGCCACAATCGTTACCTCCCAACCTGACGGCCACTCCAACCACCAATGATGGTTGACTGGTCGCTGTGTTTTAAATACAAATTCAAAGATTTTAGTTCATACTATTTAACCATTCAAAATTTAATCCAAATAGACCCTAATGGTTATGTAACTTTCGAAATTCGATCTAATAACCTTAAAGAACAAAGTTTTCGAATTTAAATTATTCCAAAACCCAAAAAATTATAAGAAATCAACTCGAAAAATTTTGGGCAGAAAAACTTGTTTTTAAACTCTCACGAGACTGGAGATTTGATTAGTACCATATGAATGACTCTAGCTCATAATTTATAAAATATAAGCATTTGCAAAAACGTAAAACTCAACTCTCAACAAACCTAATTGATGTCTACAGACAATACACTCGTATTCTCGTGACTCATAATCTCCGTATTAAAATAATTAATTAATTAAATTGAACGATTTAGAAATTTATTAAATACACGATTGAAAGTTCAAATATTTATAATTTAATTTGCAAAATTTAAAAAACCATTTTCACATTTATTTAAAAAAAAAGGAAGAAAATTTGAGGCCATATTTTAATTTGAGAGAGAGTAATATTGCGTTCCATGAGGGAGCAAGAGCGACCCAACATTTCAGGTGGCCACGTCACCTGTTCTTTGCCTTAAATAGCCACTGTCCCTCCCAAATTTTCTGGGCTTTCTCTCTTACCACTCTCTCACCATCATTATCCACAATCTCCTCCTTCCCCTTCATAATTTATTCATACCCATTGCGCTTCCTGTTCTTCTCAACTTACCATTTCTTTTGGACCCTCACCCATATTTAGTAATAATTCTCTCATTTTCTCCTCTGTTCTTGTCTTTTTGGCCTACTTCTCTACCTCATTCTCGCCGGAATTGATATTAGTTCAGGAATTTCAGGTATTCAGATGAATTTATTTGCCCCATTTCATCGATCATTTCCATTTCCCTTTTGAATCTCTTCCTAATTTGATATTGTTCTTGATTAACATTGTTGTTTTTTTGGTGCTGATCATGATCATTTCTTACCCTTTTGGCATTGTTTCGTATTGCAAATGGATTGGAGCTTTAGTCTTATGTGTTTATGTGATGGGATCTTTGTGTTTTTTGGAGCCCTTTTGAAATGAATCTGATAGCTGTTCTTGTTCCCATATGTGTTTGTTGTTCTTTTCAGCTTGGGACATTGCTGTCTGTCATCTTTTTGTTCCCTTTTGTGTTTGATGTTCTTTTCAGCTTTGGGACATTGCTGTATGTAATCTTTGTTCCCTTTTCCTTAATCTGTAATGATTAAACGATTATTTGATTGTAATCGCCACAATACGGTTGCGAATTGATCGAATAATGTTCATCCATCTTTATTTTTCATGGAATGTAATATGATTTTGTGTAGTTGGTTGTATAAAGACATCTATAGTGTTGGAAGAATGGAAACTTAATACACTACTCTTAAGGCAACTTGATGGCTTTTTTTCCGCCTCGTTCAACCGTGGATCTCTACGTGATTAGGTCGGCCTAACCATTTGAGGATGTTATAGAGCACTTTTTGTTATTCATAGAGCGTATGCAATATGTATTGAGGCATATTGTTCTCGGGAATTTTATAGACGTGACTAAGATCAGGGCATGCCTCTAATACCACTCGTGGATAAGAGACCTCTCCACATTTCCTAGAAGTGATATTGTCCATTGGGAGGAAGTTCGATCACTTATGTATGTCTTGCCAATGTGAGACTTCGGTTGCATTTCCATCGAGTCTCAAATAGTCGTGGACCCATGTAGCTCGTATTGAGGTTAACTCCTTTTGTTTTGGAGCATATCGCCTTTCTGATAGAGATCAATTGACTATGTTATTGAGTCTCACCACGTCTTTTTTCAACACCCGAAGATTCTACGAACCTGACTAAATTTATGGCACGACTCTAAACCATTTGTTAGGACAACGTATCTCTTTCAAAATGGTATGATATTTGTTCGCCTTAGGCATAGACACTCGTGCCTTACCTTTGGTTTTGCCTAAAAATCTCCATACTAATAAAGATTTCCGTTCGGTGTGTGTATTCTATAACATTTGAATGACTGTGTGTATTCTAAAAAAAACGTTTCGTGAATAGTGGCACGAGTAACTTGAATGACTGTGTATTCTATAACATTTGTGTATAATTCGGCTGCAGTCCGGTGTAGTTGCCTTCCGCATCTCAGGGTTAAGTAAGTTCACGTGCATGCCTAGTATTTTCCATGTTCCACGGCCAAATTATCGGACGCATCCATGAAACACATGTTCTTATCTTTTTCGAAGTTACGAATGCTTAAACGATATGCAATTTTGAGTTCGTACTTTCTCTCCTACAGGGCTTTGTGGCATCTTTGGATGAGAGATAAGGCTGTTTAAGATTCTATCACCAAATCTTTGTTACTATATCCAATTATAAGGAAGGAACTAAAACATGTCTGGCCCAACAAAGGTTTCGGATCCCGCTTTCCAAGGAGTAGGCCAGAAAGTGTATCCTTCGTTCTATCAGCGTTAAGCATTGTTTCGAGTTTACGTTCATTATATATCGAACAGTTTAAGATCATTTTATTGATTGTTTATGCATCTTATTTAGACTTGCTTCTTTAATGTCGATATCGAACACGCTGATTCTAGTGTTACATGTTGAACTTGACATCTTTTAGTGGCACCGACATTTGGCGAATTGAGAATTTTCAGCCTGTTCCGTTGCCTAAGACCGATTACGGAAAATTCTATATGGGGGATAGCTACATAATATTGCAGGTTGCTTTCAACTTATTTACTACTAGTACCGTTCTAGTATCTGTATAAAACGTCTTATCGCATTGAATAGACTTGGCTATGATAATGTCGCTCGATTCATCGGACCAAAGCTTGTGCAATCACGTTGTGAAAATCGTCTCTTTCGTGGACTGTATTTTTAATGAACATTTCCTATTGCAGACGACACAAAACAAAAGTGGCTCGTTCTTGTTTGATATACACTTCTGGATTGGAAGAGATACAAGTCAGGTGTTTTTTCTCGTCTCGTCTCGATGAAGTTTTGTTTGTTTAAAATCACTCGATCTTTGTTGATGTCGTTTTGAGGGGACCAAAATTGTCATATGAATCCTCAAGAAACCTTGCTTTGCATTTTTCTTTTCGTTTTAAAAGATTAATTCCTAAATTTCTCGACCTTTTGACGTAGGATGAATCCGGGACTGCTGCAATAAAATCTGTTGAGTTAGATGCAGCTCTCGGCGGACGTGCAGTGCAGCATAGAGAGCTTCAAGGCCATGAATCCGACAAATTTTTATCATACTTCAAACCGTGTATAATTCCGCTTGAAGGAGGTGTTGCATCTGGATTTAGAAAATACGAGGAGGAAGAATTTGAAACGCGGTTATATACCTGCAAAGGAAGACGAGTCGTTAAGATGAAACAGGCACGGGATTCGATTCATATGAACTCGTGTATATTTTTGAATTCGTTATTTCTCTACGATCAAAATTTCATTTCGATAATGCAGGTTCCTTTTGCACGGTCTTCTCTTAATCACGACGACGTGTTCATCCTCGACACCGAAGACAAAATATATCAGTTCAATGGTGCTAATTCCAATATCCAAGAAAGAGCCAAGGCCTTGGAAGTGGTTCAATATTTGAAGGAAAAGTATCACCAGGGAGTGTGTGATGTTGCAATAGTGGGTATGCAAACTTCTCGCTCGTCTAAAGAAACACGTCGACGTTTTTAAAGTTCCTCCTTAGTTTCTTAATCGTGTAATTTTGTTTGCTGTTTTAGATGACGGGAAGTTGGATACCGAGTCGGACTCCGGGGAGTTCTGGGTCCTCTTTGGTGGTTTTGCACCTATCGGAAAGAAGGCTAGCACGGACGATGACGTGGTTGCAGAAGCCACACCTCCTAAACTCTATAGGTACAAGACATTAGACAAAATAATCTCGAATCTAACATGTTTTGTGAGAATATCATACGTTTTTAGCATGAAAAAACAAACTCGACACGCTACTCATTTAGTTTTCGGACGCATGCAGCATAGCTGATGGCAAAACGAGTATCATTCAAGGTGAACTTTCCAGATCATTGTTAGAAAATAACAAATGCTATCTACTCGACTGTGGTTCTGCGGTATACGTTTGGGTTGGACGGTTAACGCAAGTCGACGAAAGAAAAATGGCGAACCAAGTTGCTGAGGTATTCGAGTAGCAGTATAGCATCCGAGATAGTATATTCCACTAAATTTGGATCTAAATGTATCTGTTCTTCGCTACCTGTACTTTTCTAGGAATTCGTTACTAATCAAAAGAGGCCGAGGTCGGTACAAATAACACGACTTATTCAAGGTTATGAGACGCATTCTTTCAAATCCAATTTCGGTTCCTGGCCAGCCGGATCTGCAGCTGCTGGAGCTGAGGAAGGACGAGGAAAGGTAGCAGGTACGTGTCATTTGTGACTTAAAAGTGTACCTAATGTACTTCGGGCTCGACTTATTCATTCTGGTACTCAAATTTCTGCTAGCTTTATTGAAGCAGCAAGGCGTTGGTATTAAGGGGATGTCGAAAAGTACACAAGCAAATGAGGACGTACCTCCGTTGCTGGAGGGCGGTGGAAAGATGGAGGTTTAGTCCGAGCTTACTTCTTCACGTTAATTTTGAGGATAACTACATGAATTTGGTCATTACTTTTTTTTCTCGTGCTTCGTTATGTAGGTATGGTACGTCAATGAGGACACCAAAACTCCGGTGTCTTCAGAGGACGTCGGTAAATTCTATAGCGGAGACTGTTATATTATTCTTTACGCTTACCACTCCGGTGAGAGGAAGGAAGATTATCTTTTGTACACTTGGTACGGAAAGGATAGCGTCGAGGTAAGCTCTGGCCACGTGCCGAAAAAAATGGTTGGGCGGTACTAATCATTGCCTAACATGTTGTTCAATGTCAGGAGGACCAAACAACAGCAGCTCGTCTTGCAAGTTCGATGTCAAACGCGCTTAAGGGGAAACCTGTTCAGGTATTGAATTGCTTTTCTAGATCAGAATTATGTTATCGTCGTTGACATGTTATATTGGTACTTCGGTAGGGTCGAGTTTTTCAGGGTAAAGAACCGCCACAGTTCGTTGCACTTTTCCAGCCTTTGGTGTTCTTCAAGGTACGTAGCTTTAAACAGTTCGTGTTAGAATCCAGGTTTACGAGTTCGGGTTTTTTAACCGATACGCTCTTTAGGGCGGTGTTAGTGCCGGCTACAAGAAATGGATAGCAGAGAAGGGCTTGGCGGATGAAACATATAGTGCAGATAATATTTCTCTCATTGAGATTTCTGGAACTTCTGTCCACAACAATAAAGCAGTGCAAGTTGATCATGTGGCAACATCGTTGGACTCGGGCCATTCTTTTGTCCTGCAAACGACGTCTTCTTTGTTCATATGGCACGGAAGTCAATGTCCGTTCGAGCTGCAGCAATCCGCTGTGAAAGTTGCCGAGTTTTTAAAGGTTCGCAGCTCGTGCTGTGCAGATGTTTGTTCGATTTCTGTACAATTGGCTAACTATATCCTTCCTATTTACGTTATAGCCGGGCGTTACTTTGAAACACGCTAAAGAAGGTACCGAAAGTTCAATTTTCTGGTCGGCTCTTGGCGGAAAACAAAATTATACGAGCAAAAAAGCAGCTCAAGATATCGTTCGAGACCCGCACCTATACACGATTTCATCGAATAAAGGTGACAGTTCTTTATAATGATAATACGTTCTCTACCGTGTACCTAATTAGTTCTTATATTGATATCGATTTCCTTTGACCGATGTTTCAGGACGATTTCAGGTGAGCTCTGGACCGGACTGTCTTTATGCATCGGTTTGGATGCTTTCTTAAGCGTTTTGTAGTTATTCTTGTTTATGAGTTTCTGCAGGTACAGGAGGTTTTCAACTTCTCTCAAGATGATCTCTTGACGGAGGATGTGTTGATTCTCGATACACACGCGGAAGTGTTCGTATGGATCGGTCAGTTGGTCGACTCGAAAGAAAAGCAAAACGCCTTTGAAATTGGGCAGAGTTACATAGAATTGGCTGCATCTCTGGAGGGTTTGCCCCCAAAAGTACCACTCTACAAAGTCACTGAGGGAACCGAACCGATGTTCTTCACGACGTATTTTTCATGGGATAATACGAAAGCTATCGTATGTGCTGCCATTTTGCTTTCTGTTTCTCAGTATACTTCTTATTTCTTCTAATATTTCGTCAAAAAAATTTCTTTGATGGGTGAAAACTTGGTTAGATGCTTCGCTCGTGAAAAAAAATGTGAGACCCCACCTCGGTTGGAGAGGGAAACGAAGCATTCCTTTTAAGGGTGTGGAAACTTCACCTAGTAGATGCGTTCTAAAACCGTGAGGCTGATGACAATACGTATCGGGACCAAGCAGACAATATTTGCTAGCGGTGGGTTTGGGCTGTTACAAATGGTATCAGAGCTAGATACCGAGCGGTGTGCTAGCGAGGACGCTGGGTCCCCAAGGGGGTAGATTGTGAAATCTCACATCGGTTGGATAGAGGAATGACGTATTACTTACAAGGGTGTAGAAACCTCTCCCTAATCTGCTAGTGGTGGGCTTGAACTGTTACACTAAGGGTTAGTTTACTCCGTTGTTAACCTTTGAATTATCTTCGTCCATGTAGACTCAAGGTAACTCGTTCCAGAAGAAGGTTTCTCTGTTGTTTGGAATTGGCAACGCTGCGGAGGTAAACGCTCAACGCTCGAGCAGGCTTTTTTCTTGATCGATGAATTTGCAAACATCAAACATATTGCTATTGCAGGATAAAACTAACGCATCAGGAGGACCTAGGCAAAGAAGTGAAGCTTTAGCTGCTTTAAACTCTGCATTTAATTCATCCTCTGAGCCGAAACCTGTTGCTACGAGGTCGTCGGGCCGTAGTCAAGGCGGAGGCTCACAAAGGGCAGCTGCTGTAGCTGCACTTTCTAATGTTCTTACAGCTGAAAAGAAGCAAGGCTCTGATTCTCCTCCTGCCTCACAGAATCGCAGTCCACACCCAGATGAGGGTAAGCAAGCCTCGTTCGACTTATCGATAGATATCCATTCGACTTATAGATAGACATCCATCGTTTTCATACCAACGACATAATTGGGTAATGACAGGGAAAGGAGAGGATGACAATTTCCAAGCCGAAAAGGAGGATGGTAAAGATGATGAAGACAAGGACGGAGGGACTTTTTCGCCTTCATTTGAAAACGACGGGGGACAGGAAGATAATGCTGAACCTGTTGTTGGCACGTACACTTATGATCAACTAAAAGCGAAGTCGGAGAATCCAGTGACTGGAATCGACTTCAAACGAAGAGAGGTTAGTCCGACATCGTTAAAATTTTTCCGGGGTTTACGATGGTTTCGTTAGTGGTTCATTCAATGTCGTTGATTTCTTCTCAGGAATATCTTTCTCCGGAAGAGTTCGAGACGATATTCGGCGTAACGAAAGAAGCATTCAGTAAGCTGCCTAAATGGAAGCAAAACATGCAGAAGAAGAAGTTCGATCTGTTTTAGAGAATGAACGTATTGTGGTGTCTTGCTGTTGGCTCGTTCGAACTCCGACATCCATGTTCGTGACAAGGCATCATGGCTGGTTCTTGCAATTTTGTTTAGTATTTGGTTGTTTTGTTGATTGTGATGCAGGGTGATGAGTGGTTTTTTTGTTTGTTCTTTGTTTTTCCTTGTTTTTCTTTGTTCCCCTCCCTGCATTGGCTGTTACAATTCTTTTGTTGATTATTCTTTGTTTTGTTTTGAGGTCATTTGAGCCTTTTGATCTTCTTATTTTGGCAGAAAGAAATGAAATCTTGTTTTTCTGCTAAGTTTATGTGCTCACAAGTTCTTTTATGATGGGGGGCGGATACCGAGAGTGAAAAATGCTATCTTTTAGGGTTGTTTGATCGGAGATTTTGTTTAAGATGCTTAGAAATAGGATGTTTAAGATGTCGGACGAATAAGATGTTTTATAATCAAATAACTGTGTTTAGTATTGTATGAGTGCTGCTATCTGTAAGATTCCACAAGGGAATGAGTGCCGCTGTCTGTGTGGGAAGGAGTGTCGATGTCTGTGAGATCCCACAAGGGAACGAGTGTTGCTGTCTGTGAGATCCCACAAGGGAACGAGTGCCGATGTCTGTGAGATCCCACAAGGGAACGAGTGTCGCTGTCTGTGAGATCCCACAAAGGAACGAGTGCCGCTGTCTGTGAGATCCCACAAGGGAACGAGTGTTGCTGTCTGTGAGAGCCCACAAGGGAACGAGTGCCGCTGTCTGTGAGATCCCACAAGGGAACGAGTGCCGCTGTCTGTGAGATCCCACAAGGGAACGAGTGTTGCTGTCTGTGAGATCCCACAAGGGAACGAGTGCCGCTGTCTGTGAGATCCCACAAGGGAACGAGTGTTGCTGTCTGTGAGAGCCCACAAGGGAACGAGTGCCGCTGTCTGTGAGATCCCACAAGTGAACGAGTGCCGCTGTCTGTGAGATCCCACAAGGGAACGAGTGTTGCTATCTGTGAGATTCCACAAGGGAACAAGTGTCGTTATCTATCGGTATCTATGAGATTCCACAAGGAAACGAGTGACGCTATCTATGAGATCCTACATCGGTTAGGGAGTAGAACAAAACATGAAAACATGGTGAGGGAGTCAAACAAAACATGAAAACATGGCGGGGAGTAGAACAAAACATGAAAACATGGTTAGGAAGTAGAACAAAACCTTGTTAGAGAGCGGAACAAGACATAAAAACATTGTTAGGTATGGTTAGGGAGCAGAACAAAACATGGTTTAGAAGCTGAACTGTTCTAGTAGGGAGATTGTTACACTATTATTATTATATTAAATAAATAATAGTTTGTTCAATAGTATGCTTCTTAGTTACATTTTTGTAATTTTTTTTAACATTATTTAAATTATTATTTAAAAAACTAATCTCAATTTGTAATTTTTCTTCATATTAATATTCTTTTACAAATTTTAAATCAATTTTAATTTAATAATTTATTAGTTTATTAAATAATAACTTTTTTTTTTTTTTTTTTGTAATTTGTGAAATTTTGAAAAGGACTATATTAGTCCGTGAGGCTGTCAACCACAAACAATATCCAACCACCAAATATATGATTTCCATATTTTATGTCATTTTAATAATAATAATAATTAATTATAAAGTTAGGCTTTCATTGGCTCTACTTCTTCCTTGCTTTTTGCTCCCATTATTCTAAAAAAATAAAATAATAATAATATGTGGTTTATTTATTTATTTATTTTTGCATAATATGAAAATTAAATTAAAACAAAAATTAGGTGTTTTTGATTTGAGAAACTCGTGGAGACCTACCTCAAATGGGGCGAACAATCTTCGTTAAACGGGAGACATGTGTAGAGAGAGATTTCTAACAGTTAACTAAACGATGCTGTAAACGTGGATTATGTTCTTTGTCTCCATCCCCACCCGTCTCACCTCACTTTATATATATATATATATAAATAAAGTTCAAAAATGTTTTATATGACAAATTAATAGGCCCGATAAACTTTATCAGATAATCTTAAATATCGAATTGTCTTTTAGTACCTTAACCATCACAAAATATGTTTGGAGGGGTAAAAAGACAATTAGAGATAAAGTTAAGGGCAATGAAGCAATTTGAGGATTTTAATGTCCTTTTCCCCTATTTTATTCACTATATTATAAGAGTTTTTTTTTTTTTTTCCATATATATTAAAAAATAAAATTAAATAACTAATTTCTTCGTTAATTTTAGGCTTTGTATGAGAATTCAACCAACCCGAACTACCCAACTTAAACTATAAAAGTTAGGTCGAGTTAGATTTATTTTTTTCGGTTTTGCTTGGATTGAATTTTTTGAAAACTCGATAGTTATATGTAGTAAGCCGTTATTGTTGTCTTTTGCTTACATTCCCATGCAACACGCATTTCAATTTCTCAAATTTTGGTTTCAAAACTCTCTTTTGAAATCTCTCTGCTCCTGTTTTCTAAAACTTTCTTCTTGAATCAAGGCCAGAGGCTCGAGCATACGTCGCTTGGCTGTAGGCGACGCAAGAACGAATAGGCTTAACTCACTTGTTGCTGGAAAATGAGTGCCGCACAATCGCAAGTCTGCTATCATCACAAGGCGATTGTGAAAAATAGAATTACAATCCAACCCTACTCAACCCAAAAATTAGGTTGGGACGTGAACTCGGGTTGGTCAGGTCACAAATCCAACTAACTCAAAAGATTTTTCCGATCCAACCCAACCAAACATGTGTACACCTACTTTGCGTTAAATAGATTTAGTTGTTGTTTTATGTTTTAGTTCTAAATATCATATGACTTATATGATCTTATGTCAGTTTCTTTGTTTTGTTGTGATATTCTAACTTGTCAACTTTTCCCTACCCAAAGTTATATACTGTGAGCCGTGGTTGTTACTCTCTTGCTTGCTTATATAACGTCTCTTTCGAAAATCTCTCTCTGCCCTCGTTTTCTAAAACCTTCTCTTAAACCGAGACCAGAGGCTTAGCTCACTTATCGTTGAAAAGTGAGTGCCGCACAATCGCAAGTCCGCTGCCATCAAGGTCCGAGTCAAATAGTAATGATCAAAATCACCTCCTTTTACACTATTTCGGAAACCCAAGGACTCAATCGTATGGATATGTAAAATACATGATTCCCAATCCTAGCAGGAAAGGGAGGGAAACGGATACTCAATTTAAAGTGAGTAAATAAAATTTCATACTCGATCTCATAGATACATATAGAATTCTGTGGAAAGCCGTATTCGATGAAAGTCGTATGTACGGCTCGGAGGGAGATATTTCATATCTTTCGAGATCCACTCTACAATATAGGGTCGCCAAAATAAATGTGATTTTATTTTACGATTGTAACTCGCTATAAATATAGTCGTCTAAATAATAAAGATAATAATGATTATTAAAAAGAAAAAAAAAATAGTGAAATGACCTCTTTGTACGTATGCACAATTGAGACAAAGAAAGAAGAAAGTGGGCACTCAATTATATGTAATCTTTTTCTTCTTAATTCTTATTGTTTTTATTATTTTATTTATTTATTTGTTTGTCTATTTATTTATTTTGGCTTTTTTATTTTTTTTGTTGACTTTCTTGATAGGCCTCTTATAAACCCATGTTTTAAAAATGGTGTTTAATTTTAAAATTTTATTTATTTATTATTTTTATAAAAACTTTATTAAAGCTTGAGGAGTAATAATTATTATATTTAAAGGGCAGAGGTACGGGTTGAGTTAAAAAGGGTTAGTCGAGTTGGTGATTCAAGCCATCTGAACAGAGTTCACGACCTTACCTAAAACCTCTCTTTTTGATTAGGTTGAGCTGCCATTTATTTTATTATTATTTAAAAATTCATCATACATGTTGCAATAATATCTAGAAACTCCTAAAATCCAAATATCAAATATTTATAAGTCACAACCGATCACTAACATTAATTACAAACGTTAAGTATTATTATTTTTTTAAAAAAATAGGGTTGGGTTGGATTAGGTTGTATCCTTATTTTAGTTAATCGAGTTGATCTGACCAAAAAAGTCAACCCACAAATAACGGACAAAAAAAAGTCAACTCACAAATCAATTTTCGAAAAATTTAATACAAGTCTAGAAAAAAATCTAACCCGGCTCAACTAGGGTTAGGTTGTATCCATATTTTTTAGTTAATTGAGTTGATCTTACCAAAAAAGTCAACCCACAAATAACCCAACAAAAAAAAAGTCAACTCACAAATCAATTTTCAAAAATTTAACACATATCAAGAAAAAAATCTAACCCAGCTCAACTAAGGATTAGATTGTATCCTTATTTTTGAGTTGATCGAGTTGATCTGACCAAAAAAGTCAACTCACTAATCGATTTTCGAAAAACTTAACACAACCCGAGAAAAAAAACTAACTCAGCTCAACTTGGGTTTGGATGTTGGGTTGGGTATTTGAGATTAATGGAGTTATCGAGTAACACTCCAATTAAACTGATTTTATTTTTACAATTAAAAAACGAGTTGCAAAGAGATTAAATCATCGTACGTGTCATGTTTTTAAAATTTATATAATATAATATTTTAATAAAGTGTTGTTTTATGTTTCAAAATATGATTTTTATTGTGTCATTGACTGAAAATCATAGTTTAAAAAAAGCACTAATTTTTTTTATTTAAAAAAAAACATATTTCACATGAATTTTAAGGATTAAAAAACTGTCATGATTTGGAAGGAAAAAGGTTTTTTTATTTTTTATTTTTTATTTTTTATTTTTTGAAATTATAAATTTGGGAAATTAATTCAATTGTAGACTTTTTTTAGATTGTTTTACGCACTCATTTATTAACTATTAATTATATGGTTAAGGATTATTTTTTTTTTAAATTAATACTTTTCTTTTTATTTAATTGAGTTTTTTAAAAAATAAAAAATTAGACCAATTCAAGTTATTTTATTGAGTTGGATTTTTTTCGATTTCTGTTAAGTTAAATTTTTTAAAAATAAAAAATTCAGTTCAATAGGTAGATTACACTTTTTTTTTCTTCTCCCGTTTCTGACCATCGTTTAGGTTAGTTCCTTCCTTCCTCCGCTACTAGATGCGACCGAACACCCCGAAGCTTGACAAGCCGACCATGCCGTGAGGTCTTTTTTTCCTCATCTTCTCTTGTTCTTTGTTAAGAATGAAAAATAGAAATAGAATTGGAATCGAATGTGTGTTCTTATTGATATTCATAAGCTTTAAACAGGATACAAGCGAGCCGGTAAGAAAAATATAAACTAATTAAATATTGAGAATAAAATAA